TACTTCTGTGAGAAAAACCCATATCACACTGGGAACACTTGAAATGTTTCTCTCCTGTATGTGTTCTACTGTGCCTAGTAAGATCATTCTTTCAAGAAAATGTACTATCACAATTGGAGCCTTGATAAGGCTTTTCTCCACTGTGTGTTATTAAATGTTTTATAACGTGACTTTTAGTGGGAAAACGCTGATCACACTTGGAGCACTTGAAACGTTTCTCTCCTGTATGTGTCCTAAGGTGGCGATTAAGATGATTCTTTTGAGAAAACACCTTATCACAATGGGGACACTGATAAGGCTTTTCTCCTGTATGTGTCCTTACATGATGGGTAAGATTAGTCTTTTGAGCAAATGTCTTATCACAATGGGAACATTGATAAGGCTTTTCTCCACTGTGTGTTCTTAAATGTCTATTAAGGGTACTTCTTTGTGAAAAACCTGTATAACACTGGGAACACTTAAAGGGTTTCTCTCCTGTATGTGTTCTAAAGTGGTCAGTAAGATGAGTCTTTTGAGAAAACACCTCATCACACTTGGAGCCTTGATAAGGCTTTTCTCCACTGTGTGTTATTAAATGTTTCATAAGGTGACTTTTAGTGGGAAAAAGCTGATCACACTTGGAGCACTTGAAACGTTTCTCTCCTGTATGTGTCCTAAGGTGGCGATTAAGATTATTCTTTTCAGAAAATCCTTTATCACAATGGGAACATTGAAAAGTTTTTTCTCCACTGTGTGTTCTTAAATGTCTTGTAAGGTGACTTCTTTGAGAAAATCCCTTATCACACTGGGAACACTTGAAAGGCTTCTCTCCTGTATGTGTTCTAAGGTGGCTAATAAGCTCATTCTTTTGAGAAAATGTCTTATCACACTGGGAACATTCATGAGGCTTTTCTCCACTGTGCGTTCTTAAATGTCTCATAAGATTACTTCTGTGAGAAAAACCCTTATCACACTGGGAACACTTAAAGGGTTTCTCACCACTGTGTGTTTTTAAATGTCTAGTAAGGGTACTTCTTTGTGAAAAACCAGTATAACACTGGGAACACTTAAAGAGTTTCTCTCCTGTATGTGTTCTAAAGTGGATAGTAAGATGAGTCTTTTGAGAAAACACCTCATCACACTGGGAACACTTAAAAGATTTCTCTCCTGTATGAGTTCTAAGGTGGCTAATAAGCTCATTCTTTTGAGAAAATGTCTTATCACACTGGGAACATCCATGAGGCTTTTCTCCACTGTGCGTTCTTAAATGTCTTATAAGGTTACTTCTGTGAGAAAAACCCTTAGCACACTGGGAACACTTAAAGGGTTTCTCTCCACTGTGTGTTCTTGAATGTGTAACAAGGTTAGATCTTTGAGAAAACCCCTCATCACACTGGGAACACTTAAAAGATTTCTCTCCTGTATGTGTTCTAAGGTGGCTATTAAGCTCATTCTTTTGAGCAAATGTCTTATCACACTGGGAACATCCATGAGACTTTTCTCCACTGTGCGTTCTTAAATGTCTTATAAGGTTACTTCTGTGAGAAAAACCCTTATCACACTGGGAACATTTAAAAGGTTTATCTCCTGTATGTGTTTTAAGGTGGCTAGTAAGCTCATTGTCGACCTGGTGTGTTTTCTGATGTAGAAAAAGAGTGCTCTCATCTGTAAATGTCTTACTGCAATGTAAACACAAATGGGTCTTCTCTCCACTGCATGCTGTTACATGTTTATGTGGGTGTATATTGTCTTGTCCATTGTCCAACTCTAGGGAGAAAAAGAAAGTAATTACATCCTTATTGAACAGAAGGTTGAGCTCTGGTAAGTGCCAGAATTAAAATTAAAGTCACTGTAGAGTAAAGAAATATCACCAGGCGTATCAAGTCTGCCTAGATGCAGACTGTCATGTAATGGTAAAAACCTTCAATAAAGTCAACTTCGCATACATCAATTTTGACAGGATACATTGAAATCTGTGATATTTGGGTGTATGTCAAAGAAAATTTGACTTTCGCCCAAGTTGATTTTGATGGGACCAATTAAGCAAAATCTATCTAATTAGATGATTTTTCATTTATTTCTATGTAAGTCAAAATAAATTAAACCAAATCTGGTCCCAAACAGAACTCGGGAACTTGCCAGCAGTTTAATTGATATTATAGTTTTTATCCAAACTCTGTTTAAACTCTTGTGCAGACATCCAGAAAATAGGAACGTTACTGGTATTTTTGTTCATGTACACGGTATATGACTGCAGACTCCTGTTATAACTTGGACAATAAAATTACTTTCTCCAAGAATATATTGCCAATAAGGAGGAAGAGAACTGCGAAATCTGTTTAACATAATGAATTAATGGGTGCTGAATACGGAACGGTAACACTTATTAATTGATAATTGAATTTAGCTACTATTCTTGTGCAAACGGTTGATAGATATTGTTGGACAAGGCTCAAAATACATGGGGACGGTGACCTCATGACCCTTAAATGTAATCAGTTCATTGGCTCTGCAAGATACATATACATTTCTTGAGTTTGATGGCCGGTAATCTGCCTATTGGTTCTCAAGATAATGCGATCACAAGCTATTTTTGAGTGCCATGACTTTTGACCTTTGATCTCATGACCCTAAAATCTTCTCAGTCCATAGGCTCTACAAGCTACATATATGACCCAAGTTTGGCGGTCAACCCATCAATCGGTTGTTGCATGAGATAACACGATCAAGAGCTATTTTGCATACATAATGAGCCCTGTGACCTTTGACTTTTGACCTCGTGACCCCAAAATCAAATAATTTCATTTGCTCTGCACGGTTTATACATGACCCAAGTTTGGCAGAAATCCATCAATCGCTTCTTGAGATAATGCAATCACAAACTATTCTTGCATACATAATGAGCCCTGTGACCTTTGACCTCGTGACCCCCAAATCTAATGAATTCATTAGCTCTGCAAGATACATACATGACCCAAGTTTGGTGGTAATCTATCAACTGGTCTATCAACTAAATCATGAGAACGGGACGTACGGATAACCAGAAAACAAAATGCCTCCGGCTACTTTGTAGCGGAGGCATAAAAAAGAGCCCCCGTCAGTACTAAAAGAGCCCCCATGAGAAGGCTCACAGTGGCTTTTTTTTTGCAAGAGCCCCTGTGGAAATTTTTTTAATTTGAGCCCTGTTGTTGGATCATCAAAATAATCTAATATGGTCCCATACTTGATGTAACGTTTAGTGAACTGTATACATGCATTAATACTGATACTGTTGTGATAATCGTGATTACGGAGACATGGTAATTAGTGTTGGCCCTGGGGCTATAGCTAGTAGTACTACAATGCCTCCCAAACAGACAGCAATAGCATAAGCTATCAAGGAGCTCCTAGACAGTGAGGACTACACAGAGACACTCTCAAAAAATGTTGGTAGCAAAATTAGATGAAATCTCAAATAAGCTTGATGACATTTACCAGAAACTTGATCATCATGATCAATGCTTCATAACTATTGAAAGTCCCAGAAAGTCAGATATTAAAATAACTGAAGTTTATGATGAACTCTCAACAAAATTTCAAGACCTTCACACCTCATCAGAGAAGGAAAAATCAACCTTGATGGATGTCGAGATGAAGGTGAATGAGAGGGTGACAGCCATCAAACGGCAAGTTTATAAGAGCAGTATTCTCAAAACAGCTGCAAAAGAATCTTCGGTCTCAAAGAGAAGTGTGGAGAAAACACCAAATTGAATACTCTAGTTTGTGAAGAAGGTAAGAGAATTAAAGTTGATCTTCAGGAGCAAGATATAGACGGTAGCCATCGAGTTGGTGACCCTTCTTCAGCAATACGTAAAGGTGATCATCCAATTATAGTGAAGTTTAAATCTTATTGCAAGAGACAAGAGTTGTTACAAAATAGAAGAAAATTAAAGCCACAGTAATAATCGGGAGCACCAGGAGTGTCAAGTCTGACAGATATGAGCGCTATATACAAGAACCCAATATTAAAGAACTCTTTCGTCCTTAAAAGAAAGTTTCTTACGTGTCTTTGAAATTATATTTCCTGTATGTCTATATGTAATGAATGGATAATACCTGGTCATTTTGGAAATTCCAAAGAAAGTATTGCATACTCAATAACCTTTAACAGTGGATGACAACTTTGATGGAGTGTGTGAAACAGATACCCGTACATATTATATTAATCCCCTGACAATTTAAATAATATGATTGTTGATATTCAAAATTTGAGAAATATTTCACTTTTTCATATGAATTGTAGAAGCTTGAATAAGAACCATGGAGCTTTATCTGTGTACCTTCAGTAATTGAAAGTTGAATTTGATGTTATTGCTTTAAGTGAAACATGGTTAACCCTACAGATGACCTGAATTCCTTGGAATTCAGGGCCCCGTCTTATAAAGAGTTACGATTGATCCGAAGTCAATCGCAAGACCTCCAATCAATCACAAGTTTGCAGTCTCGATCCTCTCTCATGTACATATTCAGAGTTGCGATTTGATATCAATCGCAAATAAGTTGCGATCAACATTAACTCTTTATAACACGGGGCCTAGGGCTGATCTAACAGCAGTACTATCCAAAATGTGCAATGAAAACAAACAAAACTAAGTACTGAATTTACTAGAAAATACAAATCGAAATGTAAATTTGATTTCAGAAATAATTGCACATTTTTTTTTGCTATCATTTTGAAACCGTCTTGAATAGTGCAGTCCTGTGCTACTTTGATTGATTGCAGGTACATATGATTACTTACCGTACCTATTTTTTGTTATTTCTAAGGCACATACCAAACCATGTATGTCAAATTATTTGTATCATGTAATGTAGGATGTAATTTATTTTCTTTATCTATCGCTTTCAAATACTTGTATAGGGTGAGATGAAAGTATGCACATGTCCATTTAATTTACCAAATTCAATGTCAGAAAGATATAAAGTTGTAGTTATAGGTGTTGTTTTGTTGGAAAAGTATATGAATAGAATGTTGATCATACCTTCAAGAATTGATTGCTCATTTTCTCCTGCTCCTTCACCTTGAGTTGTAATAGGTTCAAATATCTCTTCCTTGTCTTCCTGCTTTATGGTGGCATTGACCATTTCTATAAGAAAAGGAAATCAAGAAGAAATGTTCAACATCATTCTTTTTAATAGCTGTGCATTTGCTAATTATTGGAGAATTGTGAACTATTTTCATCACTTTGTCTATTTTTCAGACCATGTCAATGCTTGTGGTGCAACTGGATGTTAAAGATATTAAACTGGAACATACCTAGAGAAAATGCTATTTACTTATTAAGTTGTTCCCTCCCTTCTGAATATAGGCCTAGTTATCATGATTTAAATTTTAGTCTTTCTCAAGCCAACCTCAACAATAAATTACTAATTCATTCAAAACAGAAAACTGGGCAGCGTTTCAACGAAACTGCAATAAGTACCGGTAGAGCTTTGTTGCACAATCCATTGAAATGTGTGTACTGAATTTAACACATACAAATATTTCAATTGAATGTCGGTGAACTTCTACTGTTGACGATTTTGTGAAACGATACCCTAGTAGTTAATACCTTCATTGTATCTTAAAGGTTATACAAAATTTTGGTATTGGGTCAGGAACATATATTGGAAGCATATGCAATCCTACAATATCCAGTGATCGTTGTTGCGGTTGAAATCCAGTATAAAGTGATGAAATTGTAAATAATAAACTCTTAATAATAATAATAATAATAATCATATTTAGCTTTTATAAAGCGGTTAATACAATGTCTCTAAGCACTTTACAAATATACTATTACCCCAGTCATTGGATTCAGTACTCGTCCGCACAGTGTATAGCTCTCTCTCAACATCAAGATATTATTTCAGCATAAAAACTGTTTCTTGACTAAAATCGACCGATCGGCTATTCTCGGTTGGAAATTATATATCACAACTGCATATTCTGAGATTTTCATGGTTGCAGGCACCATTGGATGGCCGTATAGGCGCTATTTGAAATTTATCAAAATTTACCGGGAGCACTGGTAAGTTTTGATATTCAATTTTTCTCGAGAGCAGAAGTGCTTAGGGGCTATATTTTCTAGTGCTTATAATACATCCTCAGTGGCATCCAATATATCAACAAATTAAAGAATCGCTATCCTGCCATTCTCAAAATTTCCCAAAACTTTGTATTACCTTTAACTAATTTACTTCTGTGTCGGGTCCACAAGGGGTTTTAACAAATTCAGTAACAGATTAATGTTCATTCCCACCCAAAATCATTCAATAATATGAGGTAAAAAATTTGTTTAAAATGCTTTAAAATATGGATTGCACCAAAGTGCATCTATAAACCCCAGAGACCAACCAGATTGGACTTCATGCAATGCATGCCTCAGTACATACTCCTTTCATGTTCCGATTTTACATTTTGATTTGTTTTGTTTTGTTTTTATGTTTTGGGGTTGTTGACCACCCTTAGGCCATTTTACAAAAGAATTCTCTTGATAACTTCATGATACCTTGTTCAGTCGATGGGTCTTGTCCTTCTGCACTTGAGAGGGATTCAAACATGTCTGTGTCAACTTCTTGTTTGATGGTGAAGACCAAGCCTGTTATGAACAAAGTAAAGATGTTTTCATATTATCTAAGTACAATTTGATCTGGTTATTTATTATTGGCTACAAAGAATGAATTTTATAATCAAATAAAATATGGTGTGCCAATAACTCACAAGAATGAATGTCATTGTATGAGAGGGAAAAGAAAATTGCAGGACATCTATAAATGTAAATAGATTTAATTTAATTGGACTTTGCTAGCAGGAGTGTACCCCAAGGATACATTCTCCCTTTTCACGGCAAACATTCATACTTTCTGTTTGGCTCAAACAATTTAAGGTTTGATTTTCCTTTTAAGGGATACCTAACCCTTATTTGCTTCTCTCTTTTTAGAGGGATTTTATTTTTTTTAAATTAATATCAGGATGGACTTCCCCTTTAAGGATTCCATTTGCCTTTAAAATGAATGAAGTATATTCCTTGGGGGGGGGGGGGTTGTTGTTGATCATACCTTCAGGAATTGATTGCTCAGTTTCTCCTCCTCCTTCACCGTGAGTTGTAATAGGTTCAAATATCTCTTCTTTGTTTACTTGCTTTATGGTGGCATAGACCATTTCTATAAGAAAAGGAAATCAAGAAGAAATGTTCAACATCATTCTTTTTAATAGTTGTGCATTTGCTAGTTATTGGAGGATTTTGAACTATTTTTCAGACCATATCAATGCTTGTGGTGCAACTGGATGTTATAGATATTAAACTGGAACATAGAGAAATTGCTATTTACTTATTAAGTTGTTCCCTTCCTTCAGAATATACATGTAGGCCTAGTTATCATGCTTTAAATTTTTCAAGCCAACCTCAACAATGAACTACTAATTCATTCAAAACATAAAACTGGGCAGCATTTTAACGAAACTGTAATAAGTACCGGTAGCGCTTTGTTGCACAACCCATCGAAATGTGTGTGCTGAAAACACATACATGTATTTCAATTGGATGTCTGTGAATTTGTACTGTTGACGATTTTGTGAAACCATACCCCAGTAGTTAATACCTTTATTGTATCTTAAAGGTAATACAGAGTTTTTGTATGGGGTCATGAACATATTGGAAGCATATGCGATCCTACAATATTCAGTGATCGTTGTTGCAGTTGAAATCGAGTCTAAAGTGATGAAATTATAAATAATAAACTCTTGATAATAATAATAATAACATTTAGCTTTGATATAGCGCTTAATCCAATGTCTCTAAGCGCTTTACAAATATACTACTACCCCAGTCATTGGATTCAGTACTTGCCAGCACACACTGTGTATAACTCTCTCTCAACGTCTTGACGAGAATTGACCGATCAGCTATTCCCGTTTGGAAATTATATATCACAACTGCATATTCTGAGATTTTCATGGTTGCAGGTACCGCTGGATGGCCGTATAGGCGCTATTTGAAATTTGTCAAAATTTACCGGGAGCACCGGTAAGTTTTGATATTCAATTTTTCTCGAGAACAGAATTGCTTAGGGGCTATATTTTCTGGTGCTTATAATACATCCTCAGGGGCATCCAATATATCAACATTTTAAAGAGTCACTATCCAGCCATTTTCAAAATTTCCCAAAACTTTGGATTACCTCTAACTAATTTACTTCTGTGTCGGGTCCACAAGGGGTTTTAACGAATTCATTTAACAGATTTATGTTCATTCCCACCAAAAATCATTCAATAATATGAGGTACAAAATTTGTTTAAAATGCTTTAAAATAAGGATTGCACCAGAGTGCATCTAAAAACTCCAGAGCCCAACCACATTGGACTTCATGCAATGCATGCCTCAGTACATACTCCTTTCATGTTTCAATTTTACATTTTGATTTGTTTTGTTATGTTTTTATGTTTTCGGGTTGTTGACCACCCTCAGGCCATTGTACAAAAGAATTCTCTTGATAACTTCATGATACCTTGTTCAGTCGATAGGTCTTGTCCTTCTGTACTTGAGAGGGATTCAAACATGTCTGTGTCAACTTCTGGTTTGATGGTGAAGACCAGGCCTGTTATGAACAAAGTAAAGATGTTTTCATATTATCTAAGAAGTAAAATTTGACCTGGTTATTTATTATTGGCTACAAAGAGAAGAATGAATTTTATAACCAAATTAAATATGGTATGCCAAGAACTCCCAGGAATGAATGTCATGGTATGAAACAGAGAGAAAAGAACTTTGAAGGACACCTATCAATGTATGCAATTAGATCGATAATATGGATATTTTCATTTTTTTTTTAATTGGACTTTGCAAGCAGGAGTGTATCCCAAGACGATATCAAACATTTACATTTTCTGGTTGGCTCAAACAATTTCAGGTTTGATTTTCCTTTTAAGGGATACTCAACCCTGATGGCAAACTAATCTAAAAGTAGAAAAATCTGAGAAGCAGACGGGTGAAATTTGAAAACATTTGGGCAAAAAATAAGTTATGAATTTTCTAAAGTTGTATTTACTAAACATATGGGCACTTCAAATTGGCTAAATTTGTAAAGGTACTATGACGAACTGCCGGACAACTATCCCATGCGTTCCAACACACAAAATGACTTAAACATCACTTTTTTAAGATCTATGACTTGGGAGTGTCTTTTCTTTTTAGAGAACCTATAATATTATGTTATACAAAATATATTTTAGTAGTGCGCCAAAGGAGAAGGAGCTTAAGAAAAAAGACTCCAGTAATCAAATAGCCAAATTTTGAGATTTGAATGGACTTATTGATCATATTTTAAACACTCATAACTTTCTTATTTCTTGTACGATTTTGTTCAACTTTCACAACTCCAATTATCCAATTTTTTTGCTTTCTCTCAGAGTAATTTGCTATTAATGTCTGATTTTCCTTCAAGAACCTGTAGCATACCGACATGAGTTACAAGCTGACCCTCATATCTCATTGTTTCATATTCCTTGAAGAACCTATAGCATACCATCATGAGTTACAAGCTGACCCTCATATCTCAATGTTTGATATTCCTTCAAGAACCTATAGCATGCCATCATGAGTTCTAAGCTGACTCTCATCTCTCAATGTTTCATATTCCTTCAAGAACCTATAGCATACCATCATGAGTTACAAGCTGACCCTCATATCTCAATGTTTGATTTTCCTTCAAGAACCTATAGCATACCATCATGAGTTACAAGCTGACCCTCATATATCAGTCTATCTGAACCTGGAATGGAAAGACACGTCTCCTTCTTAATTTCTCCTTCCTCCTTGATGCGGATGTTTCCTGTTTCATGTAAAAAGTAGATATTCATTGATTTTAAAAACTAACTTTTCATTATTGCAAAGTTGAAACTTTGATTCAACAAGGTTATCAAAATTCAATGCTTGGAAACATTCAAAGTAATGATTATTATAAATTTCAAAACGCTTAAATACGGCCCCGGCATAGCACCTGAAGAGATCTCCGAACGCTGCTGAGATGTGTGAGATCACAGCATGGACATGATTTGCACAAGCAGACGATGTCCTATGACATCTCACACATTTTCAGTGCATATGTCCCAGCAAGCAAGATACTGATGTAAAATGACTATGGTGCAAGACCCGGAAGCTGGGACATCCCCCCCCCCCCCCCTTGAAGTTAGACCTGGAAGCTTGGCAGCTGGAGACGGCTTTCTTCCAGAAGCTTTGGTATTCAAGGTATTCAAGGTATATGTTTTCATCTTCTCTTGAGTTCTTTCTCTTACTTCACTACCGTCAGGCTAAATGTATCATCTATTGCCTCACTCTAAACCTGCGCATGGTTTTATTTTGATGACAAATGTAGCGATACAAAAATAAAGGAATCTGTCGCTTGTAAACAAAATAAGAAGCAATTGTATATTTAGCTGCACACACCGCGGTGTGTACGGCGTTTCAAGAGGGAACAAATGCCATCCTTAATATCATTCCGGGGGTTTTTCAATTTGAAAGTCTGGTTTCTTTGATTGTTAATTAACCCCTATCCTGTGTATTTACAAGCAAAAGATTTTAGTTATCAGAATCAGGTCATATTCCCTTTTGAATGGTTTGACATGCCATTACATTTATATACCGGTACACTTAACTCATTATAATTTGACAAATAATAGCTTTGCAATTATGTTCATTCTCTATGGGATGTCGTCTGCTTGGGCAGTATTGGTCCATACATGTATAGTGACGTCATTAAAACATCGTTATTTTTCCGGCGAATCTCTCGTATATCCCAGCTGCTATGGAGGTGGTTGTATTTGTATTTTTATGTAGTTGACCTAAAAATTGTACGATGGCCATCTGTTAGCTTACCAGTTTCTAGTGATACATAAGTTGACATATTTGTGATTTTCTTTGAATTTCACCTTTAAAATTCTTTAATAATCACTACAGACTTATCATTTCTGTAATACAGAGTGAAGTGGATACTTATTCAATATGCATGGATGTGTAAATTGTGTTTTTGAATATTTATGCATTAGGGTCTATGCTGTTTAGAGGTTGTTGGTGCAAATGAACATTCTTGATTCTAAGCTGGTGGATCGACTTGTTTTTAATAAATCTTACTAATTTTTTTCTTCTTCACGATTTGATATGTAAAGTGAGAGAATGAAGGTTGTACACAAGTGTAAGGGATCACCTCAATTTCCTGTTTTTGCACAACTCATGTTCTAGCTAGAGGTACCAGGTCCAGCTCCTTTTTAAGGTGTTTAAAGTTTTTCAGACTTGCAATAGTTCTACTCTTCACACCTTTGTAATGTTATGCTTCATGAATAAAAACAAACTTCAGTCTCAAAGCAGCACAAACAAAAACAAAAGAAATCACACCCACAGACAATTATTTCGAGATAGCTAGATGAGAGCATATACTGAACTCAATTGTCATTAGTCATCAGAAACATTAGCAAATACAGCACAACACATTGAAACACTCCATACCTTCATCATGTTCCTGTGATGACTGAAGAGTTCCCTCTCTTCCATCTGTACTTGAGATAGACGTCCAACAAGCATACTTCATCGCCATGTTATCTGTGAAATAATATGAAACATCATTATCTCTATGCTTAATTCCCAGTGGTACAATAAATCGGTGTATTTGATATATCATTAGCGCAGTACCCGGATGACGAATCAATATTGTTTTTGTATTGCTCTGTCATCCGGGAACTTCGAACTGTCGATACAATATTGCTTGATTATCGAATATCAACAACACTTTAGTTTCGCTGGTACGTGGTGCAGCCGGTCACTGTACACAATGTGCAGATATTTTGCCAGTCAGCATGGTCAGCCTGATCGATTTAGATAATAATTGTACGGCTTTGTTTTTGTTTTATACAAGAATATAAATGCTCATACTGTCATAGCTCGAGCAATATATTCTTGTATCACACTCGAAGCCATCCAATAATTGATAAAATGTTTTGCCTTCTTGTGAAATAATCATTGTCATTCAATGTGTACACATTTGGTCTAGCTCAGCTGGCCCTTCTACATCTAGTTTCTCCAACGACGTGATGTTGAGCAAGCGGGACTGAAGCTGAAGCAAAATCTTCCAATATTGGCTGAGCTGAGCTGTGGCTGTCAATCATGGATATATTGGTAGAAACTCTACTTAATGCCACTGAGCTGAGGGTGAATACAGTACGTTTATTTTTGCACTTACCTGCTCTCTCTCAGCTGAGTCAGCTCTGGCTTCTGGGCATTTCTATTTAATATTTTAAAGGAAATAGGATAAAAAACGGGCGTTCTACTCCAGCAAAGCAATGCTATTATTGCGTCGTAGGCCTAGAAATCTATAGCTTTCTTTCCGCAGCAGCGCTATGCTATAGCGCTGGCCTGGGTCATTTGGGCTAAATATTGGACGGTGCTGTGCATGTGCTGTGAGGCTTACACACAACGGTAAATAGGGAATGTCAGCATTTGTCACGTTCTAGATACGAGTTTTTTTACATCGCCCCTTCCTTTTCCCCAAATCATCTTGAGCAGGTAACTGGATATATTTTCCTTCTTTTCCTTTTGTTTTGTACGTGGTCAGCAAATGATTTAGTATTTTTCTTCTTTGCCATCGGCAGTAATTGCCTCCATGCTCCACAGACCCGACAAGACAGTCGACAGAGGCGAAAGTATCCCGTGTCCCGAATGTTGCCCCATACAATATATTTTGTGTAAGCTGTCTGCTCCGCATGTCAATCGTTAAAAAAAGGTTGTGATTTTTACTTTAAAATTTAATAACCGGTGTTAAGAATAACTCATATGAAGGCTCTTCCGTGCTAGTTCAGCCAGTATATCCCTGAACATAATTATGGCCTAGATCTACTGTCATCTACATCATACATGTAGTAGGCCTAGGGTCTATCTAGACTCTAGATCTACATCTAAACTTAGCATGCTTAGACTAGACAGACTCTATGCATATTTTGTTTGTTAGATCTAGATCTACTATTACTAACTTAGAAGTAGATCTAGATCTAGCATTGACTCTCTTAGACCGAAAGCTTCAGTCTCTATACCGTCGGTTGTTCCACTGAGACTACGTCTGGCTCCACTAGACCTCCGGTTATAGAGACTGAACGATCGCCTATGCCAGCTTATGTTGAAGATTTCACGGCTAGATTTTAGCCGTTAGGCCCCTCCCACAAACATGAACAAACTTGCCACGGCCGTACTGTTATGCCCCCAAAATCCCCCAAAATGTCATTTTACCTCGTGCATATCCAATTTTACATTAGGCCTACCATAGAAAACTGCTTAATAAGCCTTCGATAAGCCTTCGCTAAGCCTTCACAAAGCCTTCAAAGACTTTGTAAGCCTTCGAAGGCTTGTTTTAGTCTTCGACTGCTTATTAGTTTGCGAGAGCTAGATCTAAGCCTTCAAAGACTTTCATATATTGATATAAGCAGTCCAAAAATGTTGACTGCTTATTAAGCAGTCAGTAGAAAATAAGCCTTCAAGATAAGCAGTCGCTGAAAATAAGCCTTCAAAGATAAGCAGGCACTGAAAATAAGCCTTAGTTTAAAGAAGACCGCGAAGGCCTTCATTTTCCAAATGTGTGCTGCCATCTAGTGGTAGAAGGCGAATAGGCCAACCGGTAATTTTCAAATTCAAATCTTCACTGAGACTCTGAGCTGAGCTGAACGGCGCATATTTCAATCATTACTTTGCAATTTCGCCAGATTTGTCTTCCTGTAAAACCCACAGTACAGGGAATAAGGGGTAGATTATTTACACCAGGAAAGAAGAATTTTGAGAGTATTCTAGAGCAAGAATTTAACAAAATGAGAAAGGATCGAATTTTGTTACCAAGATTACAGTCCCACACAAGCACTCTTGTGTTGGAGAAATACGACCAACTTTGCTTTGCACTGGACTGCTAGCTGCTGGAGCTACTTTAAACATCTTCATTTTGTCCAGAAGGTGAGTAATACAATTACACAATACGAAATTGAGTTTGCTTTCTGTACAGATTAGGAAATTGGTCATTGATTTTGTAAATACTTGTTCACAAATATATTTGAGCAAATTAGCGCAGTGCAGTGTAGGCTAGATTCCGCCACATCATGCCCGTGCTGGTTGCATGGTAGTTGCCCATAGGAAAGTGAAAAGTATGCCGCAGACCTGCCGCAGACCTGCCGCAGATCTGCCGCAGACCTGCCGCAGACTTTTAGTCTGCGGCAAAGAGTATGCCGAAGTATGCGGCAGAAAGAAATTTTGCTGCAGACTTGCCGCATACCAGTATGCCACAGGAACAGTCTGCGGCTGATCTGCGGCAGGATGAAATTTTGCTGCAGACTTGCCGCATACTAGTATGCCACAGGAACAGTCTGCGGCAGATCTGCGGCAGGATGAAATTTTGCTGCAGACTTGCTGCATACTAGTATGCCACAGGAACAGTCTGCGGCAGATCTGTGGCAGGATGAAACTTTGCTCCAGACTTGCCGCATACTAGTATGCCACAGGAACAGTCTGCGGCAGATCTGCGGCAGGGCGAAACTTTGCTCCAGACTTGCCGCATACCAGTATGCCACAGGAACAGTCTGCGGCAGGTCCGCCACAGGAAATCCCATTAAAGTCTAATAGGGCCAATTGAAACCAATCATCTCATGCATATTCATTATTACTTTACACGTGTGACAGAAAAATACATTTATCATGATTTGTTAAGCAAATTAAGACAATGCACATCATTTTTGTGATTTCTATTTTCCTTTTGCCATTATTAACCAATAGATTATTTTGTCTGATCATGTTACAATTACATTCACGTTTAAGCAATAGATATATTGATTACTAACCAAGAAACTATGATTACTAACCAAGAAACTATGATTACTAACCAAGAAACAATATACATATTTAGTATATATATGTGTACGAGCCTGTGTCACTTTAAATGTTACTCTTGAATACACTTCAAATGATCAATGTGGTGAAGTTAATACAATTGAGAATAGAATATACCTAATTGGTAATATCGATATACATTGGTATTACCTAATTGGTAATATCGATATTGCCAATATCGATTATGAAGTATCAATCAGTTTATCACTGGTTCTTCTACATGCATACTTTATTGCCACGTACTGGATATGAAAGAGTATGCGGCAGGTCTGCAGCAGGTCTATATGAGACATGAATATTCATGACGAAGAGTCTGCGGCAGGTCTGCAGCAAGTCTGCGGCAGACCTGCCGCAGACCCTTCATCATACTGATAGAGTATGCGGCAAGTCTGCAGCAAGTCTGCGGCAGACCTGCCGCAGACCCTTCATCATACTGATAGAGTATGCGGCAAGTCTGCAGCAAGTCTGCGGCAGACCTGCCGCAGACTCTTCATCATACTGAAAGAGTATGCGGCAAGTCTGCAGCAAGTCTGCGGCAGACCTGCCACAGACTCTTCATCATACTGAAAGAGTATGCGGCAAGTCTGCGGCAAGTCTGCGGCAAAACTAATTTGCATGTGAAAAAGATGACTGTCTGCGGCAGGTCTGCTGCAGATCTGCGGCAAGTCTGCCGCAGGAGTATGCGGCAGGCTCATTTCTTTCCTATGGGTGGTAAGACATGTGAACGCATGTGGCAAAAGAGCCCTTACCATAGAAAACTGCTTAATAAGCATGCAAACACTGAAATTGATGCATTAAAAGACATCTCAAAGTCATTATGCATTGTGTTTTCATAGGCAAATTCATGCAAAAAAATATATTCAAGAAATTGACTTGAAAACACATCAGACAATTAGTCTGAACCGAGTCAGGAGCAAATTTGAAGAAATTATATTTTTAAATGTTGTAAAACCAAAGATATAAGAAGAAAACTGACCAAGTATCTGTACTAAAAATCGTACATGTAAAATTGGTCGTAGACATTCGACAGCTGAAAATGACGCGCACGGTTGTGGTACGTGCGTTCTCGAATCCAAAATCGTATCTCACACACACACTCTCGCCATACCGCGAATGGTCCGTTGTGGGGAGCTAGCCGCCCGAGAGTTTGCCAGCGATACCAACGCACCCTCGGAGCTCCGCAGCGCACAATTTTAGCGGAACTCGAAAGGTTCGAGGTGGGAAGGTGGCGGGCTAGCTTTTTGCCAAAACCACGCTAGAACGTCTGCTGGCAAAGTGAAAATAACTACGATCGAGAACATCGTCGGTTTCAGTGAGATAATTCTGAATTCTAATTGAGACTATATAATAAATTATATCGACAAAGAAACCTCGGTAGATCTCTTATAACTATACAAAAGCTTGTTTATTTCTCATTTTGACATTTGTTTTCGAGCCATTTTTTCGTGCGCGAGTCAATGCAAACTTTGTATTACCAAACTTTCAACACGCAAGGAACGGGGAACACTCGCAGACCCCGTATCAAATTCGTTGCAAAAAAAAAATTCAAGGGTGATTTTGAAGCAGTGAAGAAAATTTGCGCTGCGATGCGCAGAAATATACTTGAAAGAAACTTAAAAAATCACACCTGAATGTTCAGAAAATCGTATTTGCATTACCGAGCCTAGTTGTGAGTTGTTTATAACTCAGATTTTATGAAGATTTGTCGGAAAAAAATGTCATTTTTTTCCGTTTGGTGGTCATTTCTAGGCTAATATTTAAAAAGTTGCATCAGTAATGGGCCCGATGTTTCTCTTATCGTACTCGCATCTTATTTCTACATAGATTAAACATAGGATGGTGAGGGGTAAGACCGGATAACATTATAAAAAAGATATATCCTTCCACCCTCCCATATCCAAGTTTTGGGCTGATTATTGCCGACCCACCGCAAGCAAGGCCATTCAGATTTTCGTACGCTCGCGAAGCGCCCTCTAGCGCCCCATGAATGTGCCTAATGTCATAATGAAAAAATATGATTTTTTCCTCCTAAGAATACTTTTTTTGGTTGATGAAGGTTGGCATCTCTGAATTACAATACAAAAATACTTTTACAGTTGTATTAGAAGTTAAACACAAATTACTGCAACATCTTTTGATGATAAGTTATCGATAGAACATTTACAACACAAGTTGACAACAGTTGCTGGATAAAGAGTGTCCAAATTAGTTTAAGGAGCAATATACATGTATGTACAACCTGTAAATTTGTATGAAACAAATACATTTCACATTAATTTATATAGATGTTTATGATTCTTGCTTTGTGTTGGTGGTGAACATGTGTGAATAGAGGCATAATGGAATGTGAGCACTGATACATCTGAAACAAGCAAAAGTGACACACTGAGACATGCACACATACACAAGGTGACGTTTTCCATTGTTTGATATTGGATCGGTTGGTTTAAATGTTATTTGTATGAGGAAGGAAATCACCATTCCTGGTAAGAAGCTCAACCAACATCGCAGGAATCAGAGCAGTCAACTGAAGAACAAGCAACAAGAGCTGATGTGCCAAAGAAGGTTACCACTGCACTGGACAGCCGTGACTTGATTACTTTAACCCATTGCAGACGAGCTGATTTTGCTATAACCACATTTGC